AAAAAAAATATTTGGCAGCACAACTGTTGATAATTCTAATAATAAATCAGCATATTAGAATGATTTCTTAAGGATCATGTGACACTTTAGACTGGAGTAATGGCTAATGGAAATTCAGCTTTGCATCACAGAAATAAATTACATTTTAAAGGATATTAAAATAGAAACCATTATTTTATATTGTAATAACATTTTGCAAGATTACTGTTTTTTTTTGTATTTTTGATCAAATAAATGCAGCCTTGATGAGCATAAGAGACTCCATTAAATACATTACAAGTCTTACTGATCCCAAACTTTTGTACAGCAGTGTATATATATTAAAATACATAACAGTTATTTTATATCGTAATATTTAAATATTATTGTTTCTACTGTATTTTTGATCAAATAAACAGAGCATTGGTGATGAATTCTTTCAAAATTGTAAAACTTAAAAAATCTGACCAACCCCAAACTTTTGAACAGTAGTGTAGTTTGTGTGGTTGACACATTCAATTAATAATAATAATAATAACATTTATAAATAAATATATAAACAACAAACTAATCCTATACATTTTTATCATAACATATGTATATGCTTTGACAATTAAAAATCAATATTCGTTTTTAAATAACTAAATATGGTGTTATTATTATATGGTATAATATCCAGTGCATGTTACTTCCATTTAATTAAAACAAAATATGGTTTAGTGACATTAGTTTAGCAGATTAACTGATCAGCATCAAAATCATAGGGAATCGTGACTAATAAACTACAGCTAAATATTTTTTCACAGAGAAATGTGGTTTTTATAAACATCAGCTGACGAGATCAGACCCTGCAGTTATTAATTATGACAGCAATAACAGGTGGCTGCTCTGAGCTCCGATTATTCGGGCTCATGCGGCAGGTTTCTAATGGTTCTGATTGAATTTGGCCCACAGGCAGCAGGCGATGACTCTTACCTTTGGAGTTTTTTAATCTGTTCAGCCAGACTCTGTTTCTCACTGTTCAGCAGGCTGATCTGATATTCCAGCTCCTGAACCACTTCCTGCTGCTGCGGATAACATCGAAATTACTTAAAAGGTGGAATATTTTAGACCAGAGAAACCCAAGACCACCCAAAATCATGTTTTAGACCCTTGAGCAGCATTTTAAATCAAAAATCCCTTTGAATAGATATTTTACATGGGGTTTACTAGGATTTGGCAATATTCTGATTATGTAAATGTTGTGTACAAGCATTAACTTAATTGGCCTTAAGCTGATTAGGCCAATATTCCAGTTTCTAGGAAAGTGACTAAAATAGCTACCATTATGCCATTAATCAGAAATTTATTTTATTTCAGAATAAAGGCTTAACCAGAATATGGATCTTAATCGGAAAACTATTTTCATGTAAACATGTTCCCTTGACTACAATACCAACAGTTCTTCCTATATGTAAATACCTGTACAGCCTCAGTTTGCTGCACAGGTTCCTGGGTAAAATAGTCTCCTGGCAAGTCATTCGGATCCACATTGACCGCCACATCCACGGTATCCCGATGCAATGGCAGGCTGTTCCCACAGTTCCTGTAGAGCTGCAGCAGGTCTGGAGGTTTGGGAATGTTTAGACCCACATCATCCCACAACTCAAAATCCTGCAGAAATAAAATATCATGAATAACAGGAAGAAATAAAATACTAAATCAAATAATTCTATAAAAATTAATGTATAAAATATTACCTGATCATCATTTTCATCTGAGAATGTGATGGATGTTAACTTATATTCATTTTTCAATAAATACTCATTAACTAAAAAATTTAAGGCTCTCTTTTCAAGAGTGCGAATAGGTTCCTGGAAAAACAATCGGAAAAAATTAATGTAGTTTTGATTCAAACTAATTGTTCATAACAAGCTTATTAGTAGGGATGTAACGATTAACCACGAGCCGGTTGAAAATATGTGACGATTCAAATCGGTTGAGATGCTAAACAAATCGCGATTCAATTAGGGGTAGGAGTTTATATGAATGTATGTCTGAGGGGAACTTACTGTCTTTAGAAAAGTTTAGATGGTATTTTTTCTTTTCATCTTGCTTCTGTATAATGCATATTAAAGCTCATAAGTGCAGCGCTGCTTTGTTTACAGCGGAAACCAAGGAAACGCTTTAAACGCCACCTGCTGGCAGAGAGTGAATCTGCATCTCATTCAGCTTTGCTGTTTCATGCAGATATTTTTATTTATAGTTTCACAAAACTGAAGTCAAACCATTCTGTTTTTGCTTCAAATTTCGAAATTATACAATCTAATGTAGATTAAAAACTGCTCATGTTGCATGTATGCAGCATCTTTGTTTGGATAATGATTAAAATGCAGTGGTTGCCTCTAATTTTAAAAGGAAAGAGCACAGACAAAGCCTTATTTTGTTTATATGAAGACATTTATTTTATTTGTGTTACTTATTTATTTGATTTGGGGCTTGTTTTAAAATTTCAATTTAGTTTTGTTAAAAAATTGTGAATCGAATCGAATCGAATCGTGAAATCAAAATCGTGAATCGAATCGAATCGTGAGTTGAGTGAATCGTTATATCCCTACTTATTAGAGAAACCTAATATATTTAAGCTTATAATAATACCATCATAAAAAAAATGAAAAATAGGGTAACCTGAATTTCAGGACTGGATTTGTAGTTCTTTCTCTCTTGAGAGGGAATCTCACATTCTACAGAGAGAGAGAAAGAAAGAAAGAGAGAGAGAAAGAAAGAAAAACGAGTGAGCTGGAATTTGATTTATGGTGGACATTAAAAACTGCCTTTAGGAATGAGAGCAGCTCCTATAGCAGAAAGGACTGAAGTATGTAAAAGTTGAAAGTACGCCACCTGCAGCCTGAGTCAAGTTGGCACGAAGAGCCTGAATGGTCTCCTTGGCTTTCCGCAGTTCAAACTCCAGAACTGGACCAGGGGGAAGTGGGTCACACACAAACAGGCATCCAACCAAGAGAAGGGAACAAAGAAACAAAACAAAAGGGGGGAAAAAAGAACAAAGGATGGCCATGAAAAAACAAAATCAAAAAAAGAAAGAAAAGAAAAAGAAAAAGAAAAAGAAAAAAAAAACGACAACTTTTGTAAGAAGCTGAGGCAGAACCAAAACAGGGACACGCACGCTATGGATCTAATGAACACATGCAGCAGAGGTTGCTGGAGGAGCTGCCAGATCATCAAAATATTTACACATTTATTTTCCTTCGGGTTTTATTTTTTCACATAATTCTCTAGCTGCTGTCTGACCAGGGATTTAGAGCAAAGCAAATATGTTTGTTTGTTTTGGATGAAAGGTAAAAAAAAAAAAATTTTTTTTAAATCCTTAAGTTTTTTTGAAATTCCTTTAGATCTTCTAATTCCGTTGGACTTTTAAAGCTGAAGTGTGTAATTTCTGTGCCACTAGCATCATCAAACAGTTGCAAAATATATGGTCCTGTCCTAAATAGTGCACTTTAAGATTAATTTGCCATCTAGCCGGCGCCGCATGTGTCCATAAAGTTCACAAGACCATAGAGAGTCCTATTTGTCATTTTAGGTTGCAGAATAGTGCGCCAACTTCAAGACTACATTGGCATGGACTTCACATCGGACTCTTACCCAGTATTACAACAAAGTGTAAACCGGCGTGCCATTTGGGACAGGCCTAATTATAAAAACAGGTAGTCACTATCAGCCCAAACTCACATCATTGGCTAGACAATAATGTCCTGTCAGATTGTTCGGGATGCAGAGAAATGTTTCGACAGCACCATAGAGACTTTTCAGGGGAATCTATCATTGAATGTCTTATTTACAACGGTCTCGGCATACTAAGCTGGAATATGAGAAAGTAATTTAACACAGACAAAAAAAAAAATTACACACTTCAGTTTAAATAAAACTAACTGCTCTACAAGAAGTCAAAAACCCGAGCACCTCACAGGATTCAGTACGACTGTTATTCTAACAGGTTGACAATGCCAAATATATACAGAAGCAAATCCTAAATACACAAAAATCTAAATCCACCTGTTGTTTGCATTTGATCTTTGTTGTAAAACAGTTGTTCAACTGGTAAGGGATTTACTAGTGTATGCAAAACCCCGCAGCAATCCTGCTACCGTGGACCTGCTAAGTTCAAGTTCAACTTCATTTAGGAAGAGAACATTTTGGGCGAGCCATAATTTGACCTCCTCTAAGCATTGCTAAGCGACCTGCTAAGCGAGTTCTAACATAGGCTGTGTCTCATTCTGCTCCCTAGTTTCCTAAAACAGTAATCAGAGGAAATTTGGGATTGGCAAGGACTAACAATTGGGATACTGATGACTAAATTACCGGTGACGAGATTACAAGATCTTGCATAAAAAAAAAAACAACCAACACTGCTGCATAACATGTAATGACCAATATTCCGTCTGGAATCAGCTGATTCTTACTGATTATTATGAAGCATTCTGGGAATTTTGAGGGAGCAAACATTTTAGTGTACTGGAAGGATTGTGATCATGGGACAGCCCTAGACATCTTTAGGCAGTGTATGAACTAGGGAACGGATTGAGACACACCCAGAGACACCGGGAAACAGAAGCATGAAGAGCACAGGACACTTTGCATGACTGTGCACTGATGATCAGCAGGTGGGACTCCCACAAGCTCTGCTTCCTAATATGTTTTCTGGAACACCATCTACCTGAACAGTGCCAGACAAAGAAGGGAGGGGGGAAAAAAGAAAGATTAATTAAAATGGAAGAGGAAGAAACAAAGAAATCAGAAAAAGGAAAAAAAAGAGAAAAAGCTAAGATAAAGCAGAGCTCAAATGGGACAAAGGCACTTGTGCTGCTGATCAACACAGCACAGGATGCAAGTTTAACAAATGGAAAAATGTGAGAACAAGCAAAAAAAAAAAAAAGAAGTGGCAAAGGTGTGCTTGCCTGGATGGTTTGTGGTCCAGTATTGGAAAGAGAAATACTAGAATAGAGACCCATCAGACAGCCAATAAACCCCAGGTCAGACAGCCAGGGCTGTGCTCATCGCTGAAGGGGTCAAGATTTGGGAGGAAATTCCCAATTGGGGGTGCAAAAGTGACATTTTGTACAGAGCAATCTTATTCTGCTGCACGGTTCCTTAGGCTTTCTACTTACCCATTATTACCCATGCGATATTTAATGCGCATCTTGTCAGTAAAGCCGCTTCTGTAATCAGCGGTAAATCTCCATCACGCCATTATTAGCTTTTTCAACAAAATCACACTCAAGCACATAAAATTGCCCATTACCTAAATTAGATATAGTTATAATTTATATTCACATTTATTTATTTTTATTGTTTATACATTAATATAAACTATAGGCCTGTTCACACCAAGTTTGATGTGACAAAGTCATATATTTACAAATAATTGAATGTTTAATATTTAACTAACTTTAACTACTTAATATATAACAAAACAATTTAATTTTCTGAAATATAATGAATAAATAAAAATAAATTCAACACATAAAAATAAAAATAATAAAATATAAAACAAAAATAATAAATAAAAATACAAGAAATAAAATATAAAAATATAAATAACTAATATGAACATAAAATTAAAAAATAAAATAAAATAAGCTCATACAGTAACATTATTCTGTTTTATTCAATGCCAAAAATGCAGCCTTGGTGTGAATAGACCCTAATAATACTATCATAAAATGTTAACATTTTAAAAAGACCACAAGCAAAATATATCACTAGATAGTAGAAACTAGGGATGCACCCGAAATGAAAATTCTTGGCCGAAGCCGAAGCCGAAACCGAACAAAATGAAACACTGGGCCGAAGGCCGAATACGGTTTTTCGTGTTTTTTTTTTCACCATTGCATAAATTAATTAGCCAAAATGTGCTTTTTACTGTTTTGTCTTGCTTTTCAAAGAAAAAAAAATCTATTACAAAACAACAATTTAAAAATATTTAACAATGAACATTTTAACATTCTAGCAGACACTATACCAACAAAGCACAATTTAGCTTAAAATTAATAAGTTAGTAAAATAATAATTTTTGGCCATCAGACCCCCTTCTTGAATCAGGCATGTATTTTTATTTATTTTTACTGTACAATTAAAAGCAGCCTTGCTGAGAAGAGACTTCTTTTAAAACATTAGAAAATATTACAGATCTTAATTTGAACACTATATGTGTGATTGTTATAATAAATGTATTAACAGAGCTGTTTTAATGATTATTATCATTATTATTGTCTTTTTATTTTATTTTACAGAACAACAGTAAAATTACAATACTAACATTTATGAATGTTGATAGAGTTCTTGCTTTTTCTCAACTTTTATTTTGGCGGAAACGCGCAGGAAGACTTCAATGCTTCCTTTTTGTTGACAACAACAGATTTATAAATAAGTCTCATTACGAATA